CTCTCATTAGTACAATTTCAAACTTTAATATCTCAATTATTATTACGGATATCACTAAACGGTAAAGGACTTTTATGTTTATTTCGATCCTATCTACCTTCCTGTGGGAGATTGGAAGAGTGGGGCTGGACACCCTGTATATACATACAATATATACATTTATCAATTTTTAAGCTTCATTCCTTTACTAAAAGGTAGAATTCTGACATAATTTTTATATTTACAAAAATTTGCATATAATATCATTTTTCATTAGTAGAACTAATGCGCACTCAATACACTTTAAAGCTGTTGTACACAGATCGACGTAAAGATGTATGTTTAATAAAAATATAGAAACGAGTTAAACCACGAAATCCTCAATACATTTTATTATGCTATTTGATAAAATATAGGCTACTTTAACATTTTATCAATTGAAATATCTCATTTTTACATTCAGATTAGGAATAGTGTACAATGGATGTAATGTGCACTGAGTGCGCACAAGTTCTGCCAATGAAAAACGCTATAATATTTTATTAGTGTCAAGAAAAAAAAGTAACGATTCGTTACATTTAGAGTGCCAGTAACGGTAACGAGTTATTTTTATAAGGTGACGTTACCAATCCTGTCAATATCATATGCTTTAAGGAGTTATATCTGAGTGAATACCTGAAAACGTAGGGTAATTTTGGGATTTTTTTGTAATTAAATAATAAAATAGTTGGAAATTCGGTTTGAATACCTTTAATGCAGTATATAATAATAGCAATATCGCGGTATAATACCGGTATTACCGAAATATTATATGTACATCGGTATTATGAAAAGTTACCAATCCTGTCAATATCATATGCTTTAAGGAGTTATATCTGAGTGAATACCTGAAAACGTAGGGTAATTTTGGGATTTTTTTGTAATTAAATAATAAAATAGTTGGAAATTCGGTTTGAATACCTTTAATGCAGTATATAATAATAGCAATATCGCGGTATAATACCGGTATTACCGAAATATTATATGTACATCGGTATTATGAAAATTTCGGTTGAATACCAGTATTTGACGTTCAATACCGGTATTTGGTCTCGATTTTTCGTATACCGCTATTATATAGAATAGAGGTATGGTTGATACCGGTATATAGTTGTTAATAAAAGTATTTCGGTTTTGAGTCCCTGATCTTGTTGAATACCAAAAAATACCGGTATTTTTCATATCGTTATAAATTCGAAAAATGGTAAATTATGACGTATTTTAATGCTCGCGTAGAAAGAAATTAAAAAAATTTTTTGAGGTGGCTTAATAATAAAGAATATAAATAATAAGGAGCATATAGCCACAAACTAGGTAAAAAACAAATAAATTTGTTTTTGACCATCCTGACGTGTTAATTACTAAAACTGATAAAGGTGCTACCGTAATTTTAATATTTTAAATTCTAATAATTACAACGACAAAATGCACGAATTTTTATCCGACAAAGACACTTACATAACGATTAAAAAAGATCGATATAATGAATAAAATGACAACGGAAATTCGCACACTTATGACAAGTTGGAAAACCAAAAATTATATTGATCAACTCACTTACAAAAAATTGTATATATCGGACGGAGACTTACCAAGATTTTCCTCTAAGAATTATTGTAAGTAGCATCAACAGTCTCTTCTTCAATCTAGCTACTTTTTTAAAAGATATTATAGATAAAAGCATTAAAAGAAATTTTGGATATATTGGCCCGTATTCAGAACGCGCTTTTATCTCTGAAATTCTATAACATGCGTGACGTAAAGTATAGTATGTTAGCGCGCTAACATCGTTGTAAGCGCGTTCTGAATACGGGCCATTAAGAATAGCTTCGATTTAGTTAAAAAAATAAATGATACTACTAGAACATAATTATCAAATCGTATCGTTCGACGTAACTTCTATGTAGACAAATATTCCAAATGACTTAGCTCTGAAAAATATCGAGAAAAGATGGGAATGGATATGCAAAGACACGATAATACCTATCAACGAATTTCTATAAGCAATCTCAATTATTCTGAACTCTACTTTTTTTAAATTCAATGACGTAATTTTCAAACAAGTTTTTGGTTTACCCATGGGATCTCCTCTCTCTCCAATTTTAGCTGACGTTGTAATGCAAGATTTAAAAAATGACATTTTTAATTACATTTATTCCATTCTGTCACCGCTACATTGACGACATTATTTTTGCAGCTCCAAAAAATCAAATTGACACAATTCTTTGCTCCTTTAATTCATACCACGAAAGAATTAAATTCACTGTTGAATATAGCGACGATAGAGGAATAAATTTTCTTGATGTCAGAGTGTTAATAGAGGATGGAATAATTAATTTGGTAATTACAAAAAGCCTACTAATTCTGGAAGATACTTAAATTTTAATTCAAATCATTCGATAAAACACAAAAAAAGGTGTAGTCATTGGACAGTTAGACAGAATTCAATTCCTTGCCCATCTTAAATTCCACGATAATATATTGTTTCTTTAATTAATATATTTCAAGGTAATGGATATCCCTTGGAATTCCTATCACATGAATTGACAAGTTTACTTTGTTGAAAAATTATTACGCACCTCCGCTCGCGTTGACTCTTATTAGTCCAATTAATTTATATTGTGTTTTTAATAATAATGTGTTAATTTAGACAATAACTGGGCATGTGTCTACGCAATTTGCACATATTTTTAGGGGGAAAGCTGCTTCAGATATTGAATAAAACTCTATCAAATTCTTGTGCACTTCCTACACAGTATCGTTACAACTAATGAGAGAATACAGTAATACTAGACAGTAACTGGATAATCGTCTACCAAAACTGTGTATATTTCTACCAAGGATATATAAGATTTTAAAATTAATAAAAACAAGAACGGAGATTAAATGTGTACTACATAGGCATAGAATACTTACACCGATAGTGCAGAGGATTACATGTACATTTGTTACGGAATATTCCTTCGCTGCGTGATATACAATATATAATGTCACCAATACAATCAATACATGGTTAATCGTGTCCATTGTAGAAAAAACTATACGTTGAGCACTCCAATTCGGCTTCTTATCTCCGGAACTTATGATACCTTCAGTAGAATCTTCATGTGAAAACCATGATTTAGTTCCCATCGATTGGAGTGAAAATCCGCTGTTGTTTTTATTCATCATTGTTCTGCAATATATATGATTTGTTACCAGTATTATGGCTAGTAATCAGTCGAAAGAATTCGTGATGATGCATCAAGAGTATGCATCGTCTCCAGCATAACAACAGTCGGATACAGTCATATACAGAGCTGACGACGATGGCGCGGTGCGCTTGAACTTTTTTTAACCTCTTCAGTCTTGATTTTATTGAAACAATGTTAAAAATTTTTATTAATCCATTAACGCGCAGAAGAACAAAGTTTTTTGACTTCGAGGTAATTTGTTAATACACTAAAACATGAAATATTTCAACGAAACTTGGTACCCTAAGGTTTTGAGGGTCGCTCTTCACGATGGCAACGTCAGAATTTTATTTCGACCATGTAGAAATTAATTATGGCGGTCGGAACAAAAAAATGAAAAAATGATCGATTTTTTTCTTTAAAGGTTGATTTCGAACTGATAACAATTTCTCTAATTTTCGACAAGTACACCATTGGTGGTCAAGATAGTTGTACTTTAAGACGCCATAATGAAATATTTTAAATCCGTCATGGCAGATCCAAAATTGCGGCCGAATTAATAAAACCTTGAAAATTTAGTGTTTTTTCGTACAACCTCATCAAATTTGAGTTATGTCCAACTTGTTAAATGTATACAACCACAGATCAATGATTTTGAGGTCTATATCTTTTACATTCACAGCTTTCAAAATGGCTTTCCATATTGGAATCCAATATGGAGGTCTATAAACTCGAAAAATCGCTAATTTTTGTATTTTTTTTATTTTGTACACCGTTTGAAACTTTAATCTTCAAATTGTTAGAGTGTTAGGAGTGCGTGAAAATTTGGAATCATTCCAGAGATCCAACATGTCTGATCCAACATGGTGACCCAATAACTTCCAAAATTCAATCTTCTTTTATTATATTAGAGGGTTTGCGAGTTATCACCGTGTCTTCTTTCATGGTCAATGCCAACGTTTCGTGAACCATGCTGTTCACTTCATCAGGGCGAGGGGTGCACTGATACTGAGCTGCTTCCCCGGGGGACTCCCTTTTTATAGGTAAAACACTGTCGGGAGGGGGGGATTTTGGGAAGTGGGGGGGATACTCCGTTGGTCTGTCATGAGAGCAGTTTTCCATATCTTGCTCACAGTATAACCTGAGTCTCTGTTTAAGTTGTCTGGATGTTTCTGTATTTCCAGGGCCTCTCTATGTTTCCTCGGGAAATACGATGTTGTCGTGGCTAAGGTTGTCGTTTTGTCGAATAATATTCGGTGTCCTGTCTCCAAGTTGTGTTCTGCCAGGGCTGATTGTGTGATGTGTTTCAGCCTGACGTCTCGTTCATGCTCCTTCATTCGTGTGTTGACCGTTCTTCCGGTTTCGCCAATATACACCTTCCCGCATGAACAGGGTATTTTGTACACTCCTGCCGAACTAAGTGGAGGTCTCTGATCCTTGGGATTTCTCAATATTTGTTCGATCTTCCTTGGAGGCTTGAAGATAGTCCGGATGTTGTGTTTGTTCAAGATTTTATCGATTCGATTTGTTGTTCCTTTTACGTATGGGAGGAACGAGAGCCATTTTTTTCCCCTCTTCCTGTGATTCTTGTGTGTCTGTTCTTTTTATCCCACTCCTTTGTTTGTTGATTGTCCTGTTCACCTCTTCCTTATTGTATCCGTTCCGCTGTAAAGTTTCTTTCAAATGGTTAAGTTCCGTTTGCAGATGTTCTTGGTCAGAGATGCTCAGAGCTCGGTGTACGAGTGAGTATATTGCCGATTGTTTTTGAGCCGGGTGATGGTGTGACTCCGCATGTAAGTATCTGTTCGTGTGTG